TCAATTGTGGTACATTTTAATCGTTTCAATATTTGGTACAAATTCATGTGATAAAGAAAATTCAAATGATTTACCTTGTTAGATCATATCTATCGGAACATAGACAATACGTTTTTTTTGAATAATAAGGCATCTGATACCAAAGAAATAAAAAACTGAGTCTACCAAGGTTCGGTTTTGAGACCAATTCTATACTTGATTTATGTGATTGATTTGAAGACTGAAGATGAGTCTGAGATTAGGCAATTTTCTGACGACACATCATTAACGCTCCCAAATACAAACTTCGAGGCTATAGTTAAAGAAATGAAAGTAGCAGAGTCGAATGCTAATAAATGGCTGACAAATAATAAATTAAAATTGAATACTAATAAAACGAAGCATCACTTTTTTACACACAAACAACTGCCTATATATAAACCAAAATGAATCGATTAAATTTCTTGGATTCCAAATGGATCCAAACCTCTCTTGGGAAACACATGTAGATTTTATTTGCAAAAAATTGGCAACGAGCATTTATGTTAAAAGAAGTTTAATGGGCATCTCATCTATTTAAACCATTATCACTGCTTATCATTCACTTTTTATGTTCCATATGTCTTATGGTCTAGTACTCTGGGGGCACTCGCCTCATGCAAAAAGAGTGTTTGGACTGCAAAGAAAAGTTTTGCGAGTTATCTTCAAACTAGTTTATCAAGAAGACATTAAAACAACATTTATTAATAATAAAATGTTTACATTACCTTCTCTTTACGTATATTCGTGTTTAAATTATGTAAAAAAATCCTCACTTATATCTAAATCAAAACGATTTTCATTCACATAACACCAGACAATCACAACAGGTTGAAATTGAATTCACACAAGACTAAATCACTGCCGTTTTTCAACTACAATACAATAAAAACTACCAGAAGATATAAAAAAATTTAAATACAGCCTCGTTTACAAATTATATGAAGAATATCTGCCTGGAAAACGCTTTTTATTGTATTTTATTGTACGAATTCTTATCATTTGACTTCAACACCAACTAATATTTTGAATTTACAATCTACGGAGACAGTGATATTTATATTGAAATTGTTCACATCTCATTTCCTTAATTGTTTATTTTTTATTTATTCATTTAGTGTTTTTATGGTATATGATATTTGACAAAACCTTATAATACTATTGTATTTTTTATGGCGAATAAAGGATATTGTTTTGTAATATCAGTGCGTCGATCATTTCAAATTCGCAAGTGTCTGAGCAGCTCGACCGTCGGCGAAAAAGGCCGCCTACCGAATCTATGCCCTTTATATCTCGATTGTCGTTTATATCAACGAACGCGCGTCCTAGGAAACTCACTACTCGCCTCGTACACGTTCACCCTTTTGGTGAAAGGGAAACGTTCGTCCCCTTATGACGCGTTGCACTTACGCCACCACCAAAGTGAGCCGAGTCGTCCTCGGAAAAAAGGACAAAAAGCCATACTCTCGGTGTAATAAAGTGGTTGCGTGTGTGGATTTTCTTCGCTTTTCGGCGATAAAATCGGAGAAAAATATCGACCTGAACGGTGAATAATTAATTATTGTTGTGACGGGAGTTGACTTCCGTGTGTGTTTTTTCCAGTGTTTTTCGCGATGATGAAAGTCGTTCTCGAAAGGATTGATGACGCCAGGACACTTAGGATCATGCTTGAAAAGGTTAACGGTTTATTCGATATTCTTATTTAAACTTTTTCTCTTTATTAAAAGCTTTAAAGTAGTAAATGTATAGCAGCAAAACCGATACAGACGATGAATTTTAATTTGTAAACAGTACGAATTCAGAATGTCAATTCATTCACCCTGTATAATAGAAATTCTCTATGTGCATTTTTTGCAGTTTGTGCAAAAGATGTGAAATCACATTTCTCGCGAAAGCATTCAACTAATCTAGTCATATCAAATGAAATACATATCAACAATTATTTTGACGACTTCAACCATTTGTACTATCAAGAAGAGAATAGTTTCTCATTTGAAAACTGTCGAAATTTGCATTTGCAAAAATATGGCAACTGCTTCTACCCAAAAAATGAAAAATTGTTAACTATCAACAAAATAAAAATTCAATGATAAATAATTTCGTTTTTATACACGATTGTTCGTTCACATGGTATAAAATTTAATTTTAATTTTTTCACTACTCCACTAATTGAAATGTCTACTCTATTCACTCTGCATTTCAATTCCCCACAGTTGTATCTTGTTTGACATAAAATTACTTAACAATTATAATAATAATAATAATAATAGTGTATTAGTTCTTTAGATTATGTCTAGCATAATATAGAACAAGTCAGTATATGATACAGTATCATTTTTTTTAATATTTATAAGATAAAATTAATATTAAAAACATTTTACACAAATTGTAGTCAATATAATTAATATAGTTATTGATGTAACTAAGTGCTTGAAAGCATGTAAAAGGACTCAATAGTATTGGTGGTTCATTATTTGTAATTGTTCTTATTACTATTTCTTACATAATACAGAACAAGTCAGGTGTCAGTTAGTCAGTTAACTTATAAACAGATATTACAGGTAATATCTGTTTATAAGCAATTAAAACAAGTGGTTTGATAAAATATGAAAATATGCATGCATACTTAAAATATAAAATCAGTTAAAATCTATGTCTCCCAAATACTCACTTATTGAGTAGTACGCTTTTTTTAATAAGATATTTTTGACTACTATTTTGAATTTATTTAAAGGAAGATCTTTGTATCAGTTTGGTAGATGATTAAACAAGGTTATTGCTATGTCTTTTGGGAAACGTTCTGTTTTTTTGGAGACGGTGATTCGGCACTTCCAGGATTGCTGAATTTCTTGTGTGATATCTAATGTTTCCCAGCGCTCTGAATGAGGCCAACTCTGTTTTGGCATATATCAGTATATGCATGATATAACAAAGAATGGAAAATCAGGATTTTCAGCTGTACAAATATATTCTTACAGTTTACTCTCCTGGTCACTCCAACCATATTTCTAACCGCTCTTTTCTGGAGTTTGAGTATCCTATCGGCCTCCTGTGATCCTATGATTCCTTATGTCATTACTGACTGAAAGTGTGCAAAATATATTATCAACACAGATTTCTTGACGATTTCCTGAGTTGGTACAGGAGATAACACTTTGGAGCTAGTTTTTTGCACACTTCCAGACCAAGGAACTTCGTCGAAGGTGCTTGTGTAAGAGAACCATTCCTCAGAAATTTTGATTTCTTCATTGGCCTTCAAGACTGTTTGCTCTACATTGTTCCCTGTAGCTATAAGGGAGGTGTCGTCTGCATACATTATAAAACTTTCATTAGAAATGTCATTCACGTATATTAGATATTACAGAGGACCTAAAACAGAACCCTGGAGAACTCCTACATCATTTATTGTTTTCAATGAAGTATGATTGTTTGCTTGAACATACTGCATCCTGTTTGTCAGATAACTTTTTAGCCAATCAAGTACCACTCCTTTGAAACCGTAGAGTTCTAGTTTTGTTGAAAGAATTTCATGGTTGACAATATTGAATGCCTTGCTTAGATCCAAAAAGGTGCAAACCACTTTGTTGCCTTTGTCTAACTCTTCCGAAAGTCTATTTACCAGCGTCATCATTGTATTTGAGGTTGATTTCGGTTAAAGAAAAATTTCATATTCTCGGAGTATGCCTAGTTATCTCTTCAACATGACCTTGAAAATTTATTCGGCGCTATTTTGATACGGTTGATATCCAGCTAGATGAAACTTTTTGCATTCAATATTTAATCAAAACGGTACACACGAATAACTGTTAGGTATTTCAAACCAATATTTTAAATTTTTAAAAATGATTGGCATAAAGTAGAGAAGTAACAGATTTATCTTTCAAATATAACAACAAAATCAATTTCGTTACTAAATATCCCCATAAATATAATTGAATAATAAATATTTTCTTTCGAAAGAATAGATGGTAATACGTAATACAATTTCAAGGCCAGGTACATCAATATAGATTTATTAAAAAAGATACATGAGAATATTTTTTTTATTATCTTCACTAGATTAATTAAGATATTTACCAACTCATATTACCACTGCTTTAGATCTATATACAATATCTGCACTAGTTCTAGACTCTGTGATGACTGGGGTTTAGAATCAAAAACAACTTTAGTCAGAAGTATCACTGCTACAAAAAACACCAAAATATCTACGTTAATATTCGATATTAGAATTTTATACCCCGTTTACCATTTTACATAATTATTCAATGCAATTTCAGCAAATTGACTTTTTCCACATAGAACAGCAACACCCTTCTCGACACATGTTTCACATTTCCTTCTACACCCTCATTAATTTATTGTTTTTTCTTTATTGAATCCGAGCTTGTTTTTGTTGACATAGTTTCATATTTACTTTCCATTAAAGTAAGACAAAGCCACCCAATCGTTCACTTCAGGGCCAGGAATAATAAGTTTCTTTTGTTATTGTCACAAAAGAAAAGTAAAATTGTGGCACAAATATTCCTGTAATAAAAAAGAACACTCCCCACTCACCAGAACTAGAATAGTTTAACTCGTCGCGCGTTTTGCAGTGATCATCGTCAGATGTTTATGATTTTATGCTAGAGGTTCCAAAGTGAAATTTAACAATAAAATCATTTTCCCCCTAATATCTCTGAAACCGCTTTGCCTTTTTTTTTCAATTTTGGTACATGCAAAGTATGCATAAAAGTAGATTTTTTTCTGTGGTAAAGGTCCCTGTCTATTTCTGTCATATTTTTAATGAACGGTTTTTTACACACAATGACGTTTTTAAGTTGAGAAATATCTTACATCTCATATTTTTTCATTTGTTTCATTATTGAGCGTAGAAATGTTTTCCAATTATAAGAACTGATTCGTTATTCCCATCAGGAAATATTCAATATTGATTGAAGCCATATGGAATTTTACTTATCCATCTCTTTATTACGTTTCAGATGGCGTCACTACCACTTTCGCGTGGCTCCACCTACTCCAGTTCTGACTCGGATGACTCCGATACCGATGGCATGCTGGCTTCATGCAGTTTACAGGAAATCCGAGAAGAAGATTTGGCCGCCATTCTACCCGACCAACAAGAAATCGACGCCTTCGACTTCGAATGCAACCGTAACGACAAGAATTCACCGGCCACGGGGGATATGTCTGGATCGGACATGGAGCTGCCACAACAGGCGGTTAATGCTTTGATTCAAAGGACTACGGAAAGTTCCAGCGAAGGCGAGATACATGCCCCTCCGAATCCGAGTAGTTTGTATGCCAACAGCCTGCTGCAGCAATTCGTAGCTCAAACACAAATGTTGAATGCTCCGTGCTCTATGCCAGGAGTGAGTGATCCCTTGAAAGGTCTTCTACCTACTAACAACTTAGAACCCCAGAATACGAAAGTAGAAGTAGAAAATGTCAAAAGAAAACGAGGTAGACCTAAAAAAAATGACAAGGATAGTAAACCTATAGAGAAAGCTCCAGAATACTGTACTAATCCAAATGTTTCTCCCGATTCTGGTATACAGAACAGTCCCGATCATGTGTCGAGTCCTGAACCTACTCTTTCTCCTAGCATCAAGCAGAAAGTAGTTCCGTCCAAACAACAGGCACACAAAAAACTGGATAAGCTTCCACCAAAAACTGTAAAAAATGAGAAGCCTTCTCTTAAAGTTGCTAATAATATGAAAACGATACCAGTGAAATCAAAGGACACCAATAAAAACTCTATCACAGCCAATCGGTTTGATAGAGTCTTATATGCGAATTCTGACCGAGTTTTATATCCCCCAAGACGCAAAGTTGGAAGACCACCAGTGACCAGGAAGGGTCCTGGAAGGCCTCCAAAATGCAAACCAATAGTAAGTGAGTCTCAGGTAGTCAAGAATCTCGAAAAGGAACAGAAAACAGTGAATCGTAGACTCAAAAATAGACCAGTACTTAGCGTTAAGAATAAGGTAGATGTAAGGAGCAAATATCAAACACTAAAGGTTCCTAAAATAATGCATGATAAACACAAACACAAAAAACATAAAAAGTATAAGTTCAAAGTTCTTAAGCCTATAACAGCCAGTGACCCTAAAATAAACATTGAAATTGATAAACTGATTGCTGATTTCATCAAGTGTTGTGCAATAGCCACAAAACAACCAAAAGAAAATGTACCGGAACAGATTTTGAAAACGATAAAGAAAGTTACAAAAAAACGGAAAACAACAGAGTACGAAAAAAAGAAAAAGAAGCAAAGTGTTAGCGTTACTGATAATAAAGTTAATAAATCAAATGAGCAACGTTTACCCTTGAAAAAGAGGCACTATCATTTAGTTAGTAATAGTGAGAACAAAACAGAAATTGATGAAATCAAAAAGGAACCCGAGGAAGAAGTAAAACTAGAAAAACCTAAAATTAAGCAAGCTTTAAGTGTTGTTAAGGTGGAAAAACCCAAAGTAGGAAGCACCACGCCTAAATCAGAAACCCAAAAGTCACCAGTGGCTTCAAGGTATGTTCCGGTTATCAAATCCAATGTTACCTCTCCTAAAGTTCAGAACAATAACAATGAATATGAAGTGAAAGATGGTGCCAAGTCAGTTGGGAGCCACATTGATGAAGCTATTGAAGCTTGTATCAACCGCTTCTCTGACAAAAAAGTGGTATCAACACCAGAAGTCGTTAAGACTCCAGAAGAAAAAGTTAATGCCAGTAAACTTTCTATCACTGCAACCACTCCCAAAAAACGTCATAGATTGGAAATGACCATTTCTGCGGAAAAACTTCAACCTGATGTCAAGTCCGAATCGAGCTCTGTACAAGAAGAAAAAGTATCAGAAAAATTGACTCCCAAGATCACCATAGAATCTTTCATAACGGAGCTGAAAGTTAAAAGGAATCTAATTCCCAAGACGCCAATGGTGGAGGAACAGAAGCCAGCAGAAAAAGTTGAAGAAAAAGTTAAGGAAAATACTGAGAATGAGCAAAAAATCAAACTGTCACCAGAATCTGCAAAGAAAAAAGTAAGGAAAAGAAGAGCAATAAATAGAACTGGTGAGTAATTTATATATACCTATACTTACCAACTTATTTCTACTATTCAGGGTGAGTGAATGAAAACTAAACTGATTCATAATAGTAGGCGTTCAGAAATCGTTTTTTGAATAATGGTATTAACTCTTTTCACCAAATGAATACATTGTTGTTACATCATATGTGAAATATCATTCATAGTGATATTATTTGGGAACGTCCAAATTATTACTATTCTAAGATTCCTTAGACGAATACTATGTCTTGGAAAAAGTATGTTTATGTAGTACGCAGATACTACTGGCTTAGCTAAAGTAACACGTCGGTCGGTAGCCAAGCGGTTCGGCTTGGGTACTTTGTTCACTTACTCAAATTGACGGCCGTGTTGGTCGGTGGTTCAAGCCCTAGTCTGAACGATCGATCTTCACTTGCTTTCGTCCAACCCGTGTTAGGAATCACACGTTAAAAGGTTAGACCTCGTTAATCCTTAGCTCGCACAAGTTTCGACTTCTGAGGGTTTTCGTTCGTAGGGGTGCGACAGCTGATTAACCGGAAAAAAATATTTTAAACAGATTTTTTTTTAAACAGATAATTTCAAAAATCTTTGCTGATTAGGGGTCAAATGAATGTATTTTTTGTGAAAAAAGGAACATTGACCAGAGTTGAAAAGTGACAGTACAATTATAGTGCAATTACTGTATAAACAAAACATTTTCTTCATACATAAATTACAAAACAGGTATGCGAATCATTCTGAAGTGCAAAAATATCTCTGATTTGAAAACACTCTCCAGTGGTTTTCTGTTTCTGACTGACTCTATAATTTTTTTTTCTAACGTCCATTTAAAAATCTTACTGAGTGCTTCATTTGCCTGATCTGTTAGTTCATTTTTGTGCTTTGCACTTACCACCAGCGTAGGCAACAACCTTGCATTTGTCCGGAAACGCTATCCTCAAGACTAGGTCGTAGAGCACGTTCCATAGTGATGGATCCCTGTGGTACCCCTTGAGTAGTGGTCAACTTATTTTGAGCGAAATCAAATGACCAAGGCCACGGTATCACAAGTCCATGGAAGTTATTATTCTATAGGGGTCTTAGAGACTATGAAAAATTACCTAGGAACTTCAAAACATCCAAATCATCATCCAATTCAAAAGAAAATTCATGAATATATGCAGAAAATCGGGAACTGACTGATTGAATGTACACTACTATATTTTTTAACCTGTTTAATGAAATCATTTTAAATAAGTGAGAAGGTTCGTAAAGTTCAAGCTAATAATAAATTTGAATAGATGCATATTCAATAGGAATTACTAAGTAATTGTTGATTATTTTTCATTAATATGGAATGTATATTCACTAATTTAAATTTTTGTTGTATTTAGTCATTCGGCCCATGTCTAACAAAATACGTCGAACGTTTACAGTAAACTTTTGACATAATTTTTATAGTCATATAATGATAATTACTCCAGAAAGACGTACTAAAGTAATCACTGTTCTTTTACAGGTTTTCCTACAGTCAAAAAGAAAAAAAAGAAACTTCCCACTCCTGAAACTTCAACTCCATTACCAATCGAATCCAACCCAGTGAGCATTTGTGATCGTGTTCCTAAAGAAGGGGAAGAGTACTCCAAGTTTGTACAAAGAACTGAAAAACCAGAAATATCAGTTTCCACTCCAGTGACTCCGGAAAAATCTAAAACTGAAGATCTTTCTTCTAAATGGGAGCTCATGAGTGAATGCGAAAGTCTGCCTCAGGACGAGAGGACAGAATTCGAGGACGATATTAAACCTGACAGGATGACTCTGCGTCAAAGAGACTTGTCTCCCACAACCTCCAGCGAAACCCGAACTAGCGAACGTAATAAACTGAAAATGGAAGACGCAGATACGGATTTAGAGGTGTCGTTGGAATCCAGCATCGAACGACTTAGGTCGAGGTTGGAAGATCGAAAGAAGCGGAAAAAGAGCATGGAGAAACTCGTTGAAAGAACTAGTGGGTATCCGAAAAGGAAGTTGAGGGATGTTTCTCCGGCAAGCAGTATAGAACCTCTGACAGAAAGAAGACTGAAAGAAGAACAAGCTTCCGCATCAGGAGATGAAAAGAGGGGGAGAAGGGCACCGAAGTGGAGGAAGAAAAAGTATTTGGTAGCTGGGCTGTTTTCAGACTACTATAAGGAAGATGAGTAAGTGTTGAAAATTATATTAATTCCAAGTAATAGAAGTACTTTCGGAAATAAGAAGTCATATGTGTATATACCATATTTAAACCAATTCAGGCTCACCCCTATAACTTTTTTGTTTCTCTTTGTATGAAATATTTTTTGGTGATGATAGCCCTCACAGTATTTTCCCATCGAAATAGGATGTTTGTATTTAAAATGAACTGAATCCAAAAATGTATAAATGTAATAGGTGTTCAATTCGAAATTCCAATGTTGGACAAAGCAAAAAAAAAGGCCTTCGTCGACTTCGAATCCCAAGCACACATTTTTTTGCTGAGAGAATTAATTGACTTGTGTTACACTGGCAAAACTGCACTGAATCAAATGGCGCTTATTTCAATTGAATTGAATAAGTATTCAGTGAAATATCACAGTATAGAGAAGACTCATAGAAATGGTCAACAGTTTTGAAACAAGCTAATAGTACAAAAAACTACAGTACCGAGTCTTAGTGATGTTACCAAAAAACCATAGGTACAATAATGGCCAGAATTAGAGGTTGACCTAGATGATGTGCATAGAGATTGAAAAGAAGCCCATTTCCAGTAATCTCCAGTGGAAAAAAGTTTTGTTATATTCTAATTCACATAAGTTTTGAATGTTTTGAGGCTGATTTATCCAATTTCCACAGTTGTATATCTGGCGTCACCATTGTTATTGTTTCATATATGGGTTCGATTAAAATGCATAGAAACCCTGCTGTCTTCACTGCTTCGCTTTTGTCAAAAACTCTCGACGCGAGAAATGTCATTGACCCAATGTTGTGCAAATGTTGTTAGAAGAATCATAAAGTGAATGGTGTCTGGCATATTTTTTATTCATTTATCTATTTGGTATAAACGGGAAAACCCTAAGTTACAATGTTGTAAAATATACATGTATACTTCAATTCAAAAATAGTTACATAATTCATACGAATATTAAAATATTAACTAAAAAGCAACTTGAAAACTAAATGCTGAATAAAACAATTCAAACCAATACCAGCACTAAAGTCTAACAAACATACAAGGCATAAATCAATAGACTGAATACATAATTGACTGCAGACTTTTTGAAGACCTCCAAGGAGTAAGTTCTGGTGCTTTAGCTTCCCTTAACATTCTTGAAATTGAACTATTAAATCCATAATGGGTAGAATGTGAGTTTTCAATGAAAACAGCTCTATCATCCCTTGTTACTCCTTACTTGACTCTCAGGCCAATCAAACAGAGAAGTTCTGGGCAATGGGGAATGTTCCTCAATTTGGGTTATTACAGCAAATGCAAGTTTGAACAAAATAAAGTTGAGTTTAATTCATGAGTTTTTCAGATTCACTTCAAAAAGTATTCAAATTGATGTTTCAAATGTTAGGTTTTACTTTTTAAAGGGATTTGTTTCTAATTCACATATTGGCAACAGCGCCTATATCAAAGTACCTAGATATTCTACTTTAAAAAAGGAAAATTATGTTTATAAATCAACAATTAAGGCAAAATATAAATTATAGTTCAATACCACCTCCACAAGCCACATAAACAACAGTTGTTTTGTTATTTATTTATATAGAGGAAGATAGGTTAGGTGCACAAAATGTCATATGTCACAGAATGTCTCGAAACTCGGAACATAAGTAAACAGAACAGCACGCCTCTGAAATATGTCATCTTTGTTTGTCTCATACAGGTAACAGATTCATTGTCCTTTATTAGCTATAACCGATGTTGCCAAATGGTGAAATAGAAACGAATCCCTTTAAATGTTGAATGCATTATTTCATTCCTTTTTTTTAAGTATTCAAATAATTTTTTAAAGAAAAAGGACGAAATGATAAGTTTAAAATACGTTGTTTTAGAGCTCTTTTATGAAAACTACTTGATTTTCGTCAGGAGGAACATTCCCCATTAGATCTTCAACTTATCGACCATTATGTGAAAAATAATCTTTCACCTAATATCAAATGAATGCATCTAGGGGTTCTATATTTTTATAGTTATTCAGTTTCTTCAGTGATAAAATTCGGAACTTTCAACTATACTTCTACTAGTGATCAAATTTCTAAACCTAAAAAACCTTTTTTCTTCATTTTCAGTGAGGCAATACGACAAAAACGGGCGGAGAATGCTCAAAAACCCTCTCGAATAGTTTACAATCCTGCTGAACATCCGTATGGATTACTTCCACCCCCTCATCATTGCGGAAAGTACTTGCGAAGCAGAAGGGTTCCATTTCAACTCCCTTATGATATTTGGTGGCAGCACACTCATTCCCAACTTCCTGGAAGAGACATCGTTCCATCTTGGAATTACAGAAAGATTCGTACCAACGTTTACAATGTCAAAACGACGACAGGAGCGTGCGAACCTCAATCTTGTAATTGTAAACCATCTAGTAATTGCGGAGATGATTGTATCAACAGGTTGGTTTTGTCCGAGTGTCCAGCAAGCCATCGGTGTCAAAATCAGAGGATACAAAGACATGAATGGGCTCCTGGTATTGAGAAATTCATGACAGAAGTGAAAGGTATTTAAATATTTTTTATTTTTTTATGTATTGATTTAACATGATTATCTTTGAAACATCACTTCAGCTAGAAATCTCTGCGGGAAGCATATTGTTTTGCTTTTTGAAACGGTATTTTGAATTTCAACAAGGGATATACAAAGAATGAAAAACTTCCAAAAATTGGAACTAAAATTTCAAACTCTCCATCAAAAATGTCTAGGTCATCTACAGATGTTACTTTCAGATACAAGTTTGAAGAAAGAGTCCGTCTGGAACAACTAATTCTCTCGCTGGTATTGAAAAACTCAGAAAGCATATTTTTCCTTACTCTCGAAACAAAATTACTGGAAACAACATGTCTTCAGCTGTTTAAGATTTCCCAACTACATAATGAGAGAAAAAACAAAAATTTTACCAAGATAGAAAATTTGCAAACATGAACAATTATGAGTTTCTGAATATAGTTCAGTATAAGATTTTTCGTCAAAATATTCAAGCACCGCCAACTTTCTGGTGATGGTTTTATTCAGATTTAATAATATCAGATTTAATAAATATATCCTATAGTCTATATATAAACGTTTATTCATTTCCAAAAAAATACAACGGTTTATTCAGGAAATATATATAAGAAATATTCCTACATAAATATATAACGTCAATCTCATAATGTAAATTGATTCAGCAATAATTCTTTGAAGCTGTTCCAAATTTTTTTGTGTTGAAAAATTATTTGTCATTTGGTAATTCATTATAGGCAATTATTCCTTTGTAAAATCTAGATTTTCTGGAAAATGTAGATATGAGATTTTTTATTTTGTTTGATGATCATGTACATTTCTGTTTTATAAATTTCATAGTGGAATGTTTTTTATTCTTTTTAAGAATAATGTCGATAGTGAAACCCTAATATTTATGTCTTTTAACTATTTTAATTTAGTCACCAGCAATTTTAATGCTCAGTTTATTCAAGTTGATGAGATTATATGTGTTCTTTGTAGTTGTGATCATGGCTTTTGTCTTGCCAATATTCAACTTGACTTTATTCATGTTGAGAAAAGTTGGTATCTTCAATATTGAGCCGCTACAGGCCAAAGATAATCGCCCCCAGCAAGCATTATATCTTCAGCATAAAAATGTGATAGTTCAAAATATTCAATATGTTCTGTATGATCTAAATATAAACAAAGGGGATCCCAAGACCTCTTTTGTGGAACACCTGTTATATTTTTTGCACACGATATATAGTCATTCACTTTTGTATATTGAGACCTACTTGGCAAATAGCTATTGAACCCTTGAAATACATTTCCTTTCATATGTTAATATTTGAGTTTGATGAGTAATATTGAAATATCAATAGTTTCATAAACCTTTTTGAAATATATGTGATGGAATCGTCTGGCTTGATGAAAATCCATAATTTATTCAAGAAACACTTCATCGTGAGATTTTCACTAAATAGTTTTACAAAAATGCAACCAGTGTTTTGCTGTACAGGCATGTCTATACACCTGAATATGTGTAGTGGAAATCTCACAATGAAGTGTTTCTTGAATATGTTATAGATTTCCATCAAGTATCAACCGATTCCATCACATATGATGCAAGTGTCTCAGGTGATGTTGAAAAATTACAATCACAAAGGTTCAATAGACTCTTGAAATCATCAATACGTATGCATGTAAGAAATTTCAATATTGACTCTACAATCAAAACAAGGGGTTTTTTGTTTAAAATGTACCATTATCAAAGAAATAATAATTTCGAAAACATATCACTCATACCTTTAGAAAACATGCTAGATTAAGAATTAACGAAATATATTTGTTTTATTTTCATTTCCTGCAGATTTGATATTATCAACACTTTATTGTGAGATTTCCACTACACAGTTTCAGGCGTGTCAGGAATATAGATACGCCTGAAGAAGCTGTTGTATAGCGAAACATGTACTGCATTATTGTAAAACTGTTTAGTGAAAATCTTACAATAAAGTGTTTCTTGAATGCATTTTGAAATCAAGGAAAACTGCTATTACATATTTAGTATTATTTACTGTTAACTTCCATGTAGCTAATTTTGGTTGTAGAGCATTTGGACCTGAAGCCAAACTTGTATTTCATGGTTGAAATTAATTTCATGGCTGATTGAAAATAGCCACTTCTAACACTTTTCTGAAGCTGACAATAGTACTAGTTTCTAAGTCTTGTGGAAATTCGCCCTTAGATAATGACTTGTTGACAAAATTTGGGATAACATAACCTGTGATTTCATCTTACTTTTCAGTACTGGGCGAATTCCAAATAAACAAAGTATTAACAACTATGAGATTCATAGTAATGAATAGTAGAGGTGAAACACTAATATAAGTAAATATTATTTTGAAGGATGGGGTGTCCGAACGAAGCAACCAATTAAAAGCGGTGAATTCATCTTGGAGTATGTAGGAGAAGTAGTAACAGATCAAGAGTTCAAAGAGCGAATGGGAACCATCTACACCCAAGACACTCATCACTACTGTTTGCATTTAGATGGTGGTTTGTTGATTGACGGACACCGCATGGGAGGTGATGGGCGCTTTGTTAATCATTCCTGTGCACCAAATTGCGAAATGCAGAAGTGGTCTGTCAACGGGCAATTTCGGATGGCTCTTTTTGCTTTGAGGAACATAGAAGCTGGAGAGGAGCTGACATATGACTACAACTTTTCCCTTTTCAATCCGGCCGATGGACAAGAATGCAAGTGCGGTAGTGAGCTGTGTCGTGGTGTGATTGGCGGAAAATCTCAGAGGGTGCGACAACTTCCTGAACCAAACGTCAGTAAGAATCCTGGAAGGGTTGGAAGGCCTAGAAAAACGGAGGCCAAAAAGAAGGCGAGCAGTAGTAAAGATGTTGAGAAAGTTCCTGTTGTAACCCCAGTTCTGCCAACCATTCAGGTGAAGCCCATGAGCCATCAGCAGAAGTGTTTTATTTTAGAACATCACTGTTTCCTCTTGAGAAATCTATCGAAGGTATTTATTCATAAATTTAATTCAGCATGCTTACCAATCTTCATTAAACTAAAAACCTACTACTAATAGTAGTAATCTTAATTTGAGCAATTTCATTCACAAAAAATTAGTATGCAGTGATAAAGAAAACGCCACAAAGGATCTGGTAGATAAAACAAATAGTAAACGGAGTATTCATATATTGTGAATTAATAAACAAATTGTCTGTTCCCTCTTCCATCCTATAATTTTGATTTTACACTTGAAAAACTCGGATTATATATAACGTGAATGATTAGGTTTATTCATGTTGCTCAAAAGGCTGTGAACCCAGTATTTTATGGCATTTAATTTATAACCAATCAATGAATCATAATTGAACTTTATTGTCTAAAAGAGAAAACTTTGTTGACAAGGCATAGATTATATGTACAATACAATAGTATATGCTTATTAATTTATCAGTGTTTCATATAAAATGGTTAAAACTTTGCAGATATAAACAACAATAGATATACATATATCTTTGGTCTAGTTGTGCAAGAACATCTCAGGATTAAATCACAAGTAAATATAGAACGCAGATAATTTGATCTTATTGATACATGCTAAAGCTACAATTAGCTCAAGATACTGTCACTATAATATTCCTGCAGGCTGTAGTATCCTTTAGTTAATAATTTACTTTTTGGATCGGCAGATGATTGAAGAAAGAAAGTTTTTGGCTTTCTACTACTCCATCTTGATACAAAAAAAAAGAAGGATGAGGGAGTCTTCCAAAGAAAGGAAGGAAGTAAATACATGGATGTGTAGATCATGCAAAGAAGTTTCTTTCAGTTTGTGTCTGAAAGTTACTTCTTTGCATGATCTACACATCCATGTATAGAATTACTTTCTTCCTTTCTTTGGAACACTCCCTCATCCTTCTTTTTTTTGTATCAAGATGGAGTAGTAGAAAGACAAAAAACTTTCTTTCCCAAAAATTAATCACTTCTAAAAAATATAACCCCTTCAATTCATGATTGAAGAGTTTTTCACTTTCAAACATGACAGATTTTTTAGTATATGTCGGTAGGTTTAGTTGGGGTAGGGGTAAGTCGTGGTTTTGACGAGTATTATATGGTCTTATAATTGTCATATTGGATTTTTTCTTGTGCATCAAACACACTGTCTCGAAGATAAGAATACTCTACAGGGTCGAATTCCATGTTTTAGAAAAAGCTATTCACAGTGATCTCTGTATTTAGTTTTGGATAGATATCTTATAGCTCTTTTCTTTAAGACAAATACTGAGCTCATTAGCTGATTACAGCAAAAGCCCCAGATCGAAATGCCATACATTGAGTGTGATTCAATGAGACAAAGTAAAGCAAGTCTGCCACAGTGTCTCCATAAATGAGTTTTTTGTTAGATCAGAGAGCTCAGTATCTGGTTTCACAATCCCTTCTATGTGGTACTTTTCAGTACAAATGAGTCTACCTAGCACACTTGAATTTTTTTTTTGAGTATGCATCACCTATAATATAACATTGATAGAATTGAAGCAATTCAACGAGGATTTTTAAAACTGCTAAGCCTAAAAACCGATGGCATTTATCCTCCAATAGAAACAACCCACTCTGAATTGCTACAAAAGCATAACTTTTGCAGTCTCGAAAAAAGGTGTGAATATTATATTGTTGCACTAACCTATAAAATTATCATATTTGCATTCCTAGAATCTGTTCCAGACACCCGAGTACTTTCTATATAAAAACATCTCGCACAAATGTTCTGGAGAATCCTCCGATCCATACCATGTGTAAAGTGACAAATTCTGTTAGCGATCATTTAGATATATTTAGTTGCAATTTGTCAAATATAAAATCCCACTTCCTAAAATAATTGTTTTGTCACCTACAATGAATATAAAATGTGTAGTCTTTATAGTCACTTGTTTGTAGTGTTTGTGAACTTTACAGTCACTTGTTTGTGATGTACTTACTATACTCTGTTATTTCCTGCTCTGTAATTGGGCTATGTCCTGTAGAGTATTGTATTTCAAATAAATAAATAAATAAGAATTTTCTTTTTTAAATTATTAAATTTTGATGAAGTTTTTCCACTCCATTGGTAATGAATTAGTTCATATGATGTCTGCAGAGTATAAATGTCTTCTTCTAGACTTTTTCCTAGTATCTTATCTTCATTTCCCCCTCCTTTTATTATTAGACGTTTTTGGGAGATATTGGACTGGTAATTGTTGAGGATTCAAATATACCTACTTGATTTTGTTCTTGGTCAACTAATTCGGCTCTGAACCCCTTTGACAGGACTAACTTGTCTCTAGTAGAGTTGTGATTAACAGTATTTTCTGTCTTACTAGTTTTGGCTTTTTCCATTTTCCTTATCTGAAGTTTTTCTTTAGTGCCCTTATGTTTTATTCTCATTGCTGCTATTTCAGTTTTTTTCTTGCTTCGTTGGTCGCCAGCGCATTATTTTTAATAATAATTGAAATTTATTGAACAAAATTACAATTATGCTCAACTGGCTATCGACCGAAGTCCTTCCGCCCTCATTATTTTTATTTTCACCCTCTGTTTGAGTGCTTTCGTCTACGCCACTGTTGGAATGTATACATTTGTCTGTTTGGGTGTCTGTTGTTTTTTGTCTTTGGCTTTATCAGCCAGAGTTTTTTTCATTGAAGCAAGTTCACATTCCATTGTGTTTATTTGTGTTTCTTCAATCTTCAGTGACTCAATAAATTCACTTTCAGATTTAGTGGCTTCTCCCAAAAACATTTCTTTTTCATCCCTTAATATTTTAATGGAGTTATCGTACATTAGACTATCATTGAGCAACTCACAAATGGTTGTTTCAAGTTGATTTATTTTATGATCTTGATCAACGTCAACAACTTGAATTTCATTAGGACAACAGATGATTTTATTTTCTTGCAAGATCGTAATCTTACTCCTCATCCTACTTATACAACTTTTTTGGAATACACCAAAACACTTCACACATACATAATAATTAAAAACTATTGTTTTACAACATTTAAAGCCACTACTCAGGAAGCTCTGATAACCTGAAGTGCTCAGTGTAACCATTTTTAACTGGATATCAGAATTTTTTTGGTAATTGTAACTGTTTTTTACTTAAGTATTGACTAGTCTTTGATTTTTAACAATCCTTAATGGTGTTTTCTATTGAAGGTCAGAAAAGTACGGGACAGATCTTTGAGTATGGCCTCAGCAGGATCAAGACAACAAACTGCTACTCCAACTGATACCAGTGCTTTCATGAATCATTTGAATGCTTTGCAAAAGCCGAGAAGTATGAAAACCCGAGGATTGGCGCAGGTTGAAGATGATCCTGAATTGAACAAAACCGTCAAGTTGGCAGCGTTACTGAAAAAAATTTGGACAACTGTAATCAATGCCAAAGGTAGTATTACTAACGAATGTATCCAATATTTTTTTCATTGTTTGATTTTGCAAAATTTTAGATGAAAAAGGTGAATCTCTGAGTGCCCACTTTATGACGATACCTTCTAAAAGAAAAGTACCAGAATTCTACACTCGTCTCACGAACCCAATAGATTTATCAACCATAGAGCAGAACATAGCGACAGGCATTTATAAAACTCCGGAAAGTTTTGACGAAGATTTCAACAAATTGTTTAGGGATTATATTCGCTTTTATGGGCGAACCAGTGAAATGGGTATCGGTGCCGCAAAACTCAAAAAGATATACGTAGACTCCAAGAAGCAAAGCCTCAATAAATTCGAAGATGCTTTAGGAGCAAAGCCCCCTCCAAATTTTGTGTCCAACAGGAAGAAGAGTAAGTTGTTTTGTGTTTTATAGAGTCATTCAACAATATTGTTTATAAATGTAAATCCTAATTATATCATTACTTGATTTTTTTTTTTCGCAGGTGAGGAGGAAGATATCATTCGATGTATATGTGGTATTCCAAGGGATGAAGGTTTGATGATACAGTGCGAACGTTGCTTGGTTTGGCAGCATTGCGAATGTGTGAAAGCTGATGCATCTGCGCCTAGTTACCACTGTGAGAAATGTGTTCCCAGAGAGGTAGATTATGAAATTCCATTAGATGAGTTCACTGAGCATGGTCACAGGTAGGGATCCAAAAATGTTTCACAATTTCTAAGAAGTATCCATCTTATTTGTACAATTAGGTTAGGCTCAGATTTGTAAAAAGATGTGAAGTTCCTTCAGGTCATAGAGAGCATCAGGATTTCCTTCATTTGATCTCTTTTTGATCCTTTGTGTTCAGATATCCTTTCAAGTTTTGAGGTAATTACGAAGAGTATTTTCAATTTTTTTCATCCAATTAAGTCCAACAACCAAATGGAAAACCAATCAATGGACATTTAAGCAGAGCTTTCAGGCCATCAATCTGAAAAACTCGTTTCTCACCAAGAAATTAGTAAAAATTGTAAAGACCAATTCACATTTGCACAATTTTCTTCATGTACCATGCAATTTTACATCTGCGCAACACAAACCTTGTGAGTCTTATCATTTTCAAGATAGCAATAGGGGGACTAGCTGAAAACAGTTCAGTAAAAGAAAATTTTTTTCTAATTTTTTGGATAAAAAAGTGACATTCTTCCGATTTAAAATAAATATGATTTGTTGTCACTATATGAAATAACAGTAATAACAGTTCCTAAAAACATTGTGGACCAAGAGAATTATTTATTAATTCCTGCCATTTGAACAATGTGTGTGAAGTAAGAGATTATTGGGTCTGACAAATTTTTCCAAAATATCAGATATGCACTGTGACAACGTAAGACAATTTGGATACTGATAAACAACATAATTTCAGTCTCTAATATATTTGAAGTGATTTCATGATATTTATATTTTTTCCAGATATTATATGACACTTATGAGAGGGGATCTCCAACTTAGGCAAGGCGATACGGTATATGTTCTAAGAGACATTCCGATACCTGGCACCGATAAAAAACATACTTACGATACAATAGAGAAGATTGAATACTCGGAGTTGGATATTTTCAGGATCGAAAGGTTGTGGAAGGAAGAGAAAACTGGAAAAAGGCTGGCATATGGACATCACTATTTAAGGCCTCATGAAACTTTTCATGAACCTACTAGAAAGTAAGTTCTGTCTATTCTTGTAATAATTCAGTTTCTAAATCTGTATTAATTATAGAGAGTATTGAACTGAAAAAACGTGAAAATTAAAGATATATTTAATAATATATTATAGAACTGTAAGAAATAGAAATTCTTTTTTTTGTCTTTCATTTGCACTGAGCTTTTTTTATCTGTTTCCCATGTGAAAACAATTTTGATAGGTTACTTTTGAAGGATGTTAATTGATAACAAAAAATTAAATTTAAAGCAATAATTATATTTTGTGAATTTGATGAGCATGTTATAAAATGTCTTCAGTATTTTTCTAAAAAATAATAATGAAGCCTGTTTACAGATCTATTTCTCACATTTATGGAATGTTTCTGGGGCATTGCACCACTTATTCTATCCATGAGTTCTGGAATGGACTCAATTGTCTAATTTACACTTTAGATTTCATGTATTTCCACAAAAATTTAAGGTTGTCATATCAGATCATCTAGCAGGCTATTTTAAGGAGCCACGTCTGAATAACCATCGGTTCAGAAAATTGTCAATCATCTTCTTATGTTAAGGAGGTGCCCAATTTTGCTGAAATGTACCGTCAAATTTTTGGTTATTTTTTTTAAATATTGGTCCTACAATGTCCTGGTTTGCCAGAATGCCCACCAAAACATTAACCTTTTGTTGTGCCTTCTCGAAATTTATGCCCACCGAAACATTAACCTTTTGTGCCTTTTTGAAATTTATGGGTTCACATCAGACTGATATTTTGTCTATTCACTGTACCTTTCAGAAAAGAAGGTATATTCATCACATGAAACAAATGTAGTTGATGTGTTCTGGATTTACAGGTTATGCAATCTTTCATAGTCGCAGAAAACTTCAATCTTCCATTATATTCTTCAATTGATGAAGGATGCCTAATTTGTAGAGATAAGATTTACTTACGTTCTTCAAGATATTATTTGGTACTGAAAGATACCCCACAATTCACAGCTACTTCTGTTGGAAGTAAACACGATGGATCCCAAAATATCATGTTTCTTCTGTACTTTCGACTTATTGGATTATCTAGAAACAGCTTTGTTATAATTACACCTTGCTTCAATATGAAATAAAAATGCTTTTTTTATTCCAAGCTCAAGAATCACTGTTGTTACTTATTAGTAACTTTGTAAACGAAGTGTACTAGGTTTGTTAAAAAAAAGGTGAATTTTCATTTTTTCGAAAGTATGTTTTCATCAATTTATATTTTGTCCCCTTCAAAGTATTGCCCCTCAAATATACACTTGTGCCAGCGTTTTTTCCAAACCTACAAGCAGTTCTGATATGCACTTTTCGGTATGTCCTGGAGCTTTCTCAGTGATTCGGTGTTTATCTCCTCAGTTGTCACAAAACGCCGTTCTGTTATGGGTCTCTTCAATCTTGGAAACAGAAAACATTCGAACGGAGCCAAATCTTGTTGAAACAAGAAAAAATCACACGGGACCAAATCTGGTGAATAACATGGCTTAGGCATGATAACCGTATTGTTTTTGGCAAAAAATATGAACAGTCAATGACGAATGAGCAGGTGCATTGTCATGAAACAAAAGTCATGAATTGTTTTTCCACATTACCGGACGTGGAAAGAACTCCTGATGCACTACGCCAATGTAGTTGAAGAAAACAGTGAGCAAAACCTTGACATTTGATCGAACTTGGCGTGCTTTTTTTAGTCTTGGCTTTTCCATAGAAACAATTGGACTTTGGTTTCGAAGTCACAACGTAAACCCATGTTTCGTCACTAGTTACGACTTTTTTAAGCTAATCTGGATCGCCATTGACGTCATTCAACAATTCCTGAGATATACTCATACGAAGGTTCTCTTGGTCAAAATTCAGCAATTTGGGAAAGAACTTTGCTGCCACCAGCTTCATAACCAAAATTTTCGCACAAATTGCATGAGCCAACTAATCGTCCAGGGCGAGCGTCGTCATTTACATCGTGACAACATCCGTGAAAAGCTTGTACAACTTGTACAATCACCGTATACCACTGTCAATATTTCAAGTGTTTTTGAGCACTCAATTCTATTTTTTTTTTCACAAAATTTCATGCAAATTTTTTAATCCATTTTTGTTGATGGCAGAAAATCGCCGAAAACGCAATTTTTTCCCAGACACTGCTCTATTTATTTCAATAGTATGTTGAATTAATTATTGTAAGTTTTACCATTTCATGAAAAAACTGTCTTAGAAATTGAGACATTCCATAATTGACATGCTTCTTAAAAATAGCAAATTGCTCGTTACAAAGGAACAACTGGTTCAATTTCCAAAGGAGGTATCATAAAACCCCTTTCTATTTGAAAATCTTGCTAGGGGCGAGTAAAATCACACTATTGTTTTTATAATCAAAAAGCACAAAAATTATGCTTTTTTATCTTAATTATGTAAAATATGTATTTGGGTGATCAGTATTTTGAAAATGGTGATGATATTTAAATAATTTTGCTATAGAATTTCAATCTATTTATAAACTTAATGAGCTGACTAATATACCAGCTAGAGGAATTAGACATTAATAAAAGTCCTGGTCCAGATGGATTACCAAATATTTCATTGAGAAAATGTTGATTTACACTTGCAAAACCATTATTAGCGCATTTCTCTTCTCTGAAATTTGGTATATTTCCTCTATACTGGAAATCAAGCTTCATAACACCTATTCATAAATCTGGTGATAAAGCTAATATACAGAATTATCGTCCAATGAGTATTATCAGTGCTATACCCAAAGTGCTTGAGTCCACAGTATGTGACAAAATCAAAGATTCAGTTAATCAAGTTCTTATAGATGAACAACATGGCTTTACCAGAGGCAGATCAACAACTTCCAACCTACAGTTATTTTCACAGTATGTGTTGAATGCTTTTGAGGAAAAACATCAAGTAGATGTCTTCTATACTGACTTTTCCAAAGCATTTGACACAGTGAACCATTCAATTTTATGTGAGAAATTGAAAGCAATTGGATTTTATGGAAAACTACTGGATAAAAGTTAAGGAATTCATATCTCACGAAATTAATGTTTTATCAGGTGTACCACAAGGAAGCTATCTAGGGCCGTTTCTTTTCAACATTTTTATTAATGATATCAGAGTTAACTTAAAATATACTGACATCTTACTTTTTGCAGATGATTTAAAAATGTTCAAAACAATTCAAACACAAGATGATTGCTTAGTATTACAAACAGATTCAGTGAATGGTGTTCACAAAATGATATGAATCTCAACGTGAATGAATGTAAATGTATGACGTACTATCAAGTACGTCACCTACTTTCACCTACATTATAATTATATTATAAACAAAGTAACAAAAATGCTAGACTTCATTTGTCGTACTTCCAAGGACTTCTCTATTATTGAATGTGAAATGTTGTATTTCACCCTGGTCAGATCAGTCTTAGATTATTGCAGTTCCATTTGGTCACCCACCTATGAAAGCCCTGCACTTAACATTGAACGGGTACAAAACAAATTTCTTGAATTTTTGGCGTTCGAGTTAAAAATGCCCTTGAAGGACCATTCATTAGACGATATTCGTAGGGTTGCAGATATAATGAAGCTGAGTAGTGTGGAAACTGACTTTAAACTCTTATTCCAATTATTTAATTCTGTTATTAACTGCCTTGTATTGCTAGCTTCTAGAAGTACAAAGAATACAGAAAAATTTGCAATAGATTTTCATCGTTGTAACTACGGTAAACATTCTCCCCTGTCTAGAGTTGCTATTGGTGGTCATAAAGTCAATCTGGACTTCTTTTCATTGAACGAAACAAAATTTAAGTTTGCATTACGCTTGCTCAAAAATGAATTATAAATGGTAATAAATATAAACATAAACATCCCCAATTATTGAATTTTCCATATCTTAATCATTCATTTATTTAATTGAAATTTCAAGTCAGTAAATTTATTTTCTCACTGTTATTCTTTATTAATAAATTAGTTTTACTTTAGGCAAGTAAGTTACGTGTAATTATTTGTTGTATTCATATAACTTATTGTAAAATCTCTTAAACTCAATTGGGTGGTCGTTAATGAATAAAAATAAAATTTTGTCCAAAAGCTATATCTAGACCCGTTGAAAAGTAGTGGAGATATGTTTAATGACCGTACTTTGTTTGAGGAATACCGAAGGCATTTTGTTTCAAACTGAGTTTTTATGTTATCAATATCAAATTTATGATACTGAATGTCTTTATTTATAGATTCTTCCCAAATGAAGTCATGAGAGTTCCCTTATATGAAGCAGTGCCTGTCGAACTAGTCATCTCCCACTGTTGGGTGATGGACGTCAATACGTACTGCAAAGGCAGACCCATCGGTGCGCCTAAGGAGCACATTTATATTTGCGAATACAGAGTGGACAAAGGAGCGAAAATGTTCACCAAAGTACCCAAGAGTAAATTCCCAATTTGCACCAAGACCTTCGCATTTGAAAGATTCGAATCTAGATTGAAATTGTCTAGGACTTATTGTCCACATGACGTGGATGCTGCCTTGATGAAATCTGTGGGGAGGAAGCAAAAGAACAATGAAGATGCTCAGGTCGATGCTGGGGTTGGTAGTACTTCAAGAGAAGTTGTTACAACAGTGCCTGTCTTGCCACCTGTGGTAAGGGTAAGTACAAAATTTAAATCTACTGTTTACTGTGGTGATCGATAATATTTATTCAACTGGTCAAGTACAGCTAAGCATTTAACATGCTAGGGCATTCTCACATATCAACCGTACTATCATGGCTTAGTGCTGAGTCGGAGAATTCTCAAGAGGTTTTGTATCCCGAAAGAATTTACTGAGATTGGTATGTTTTCGTGTTTGGTAGCTCATTTTAAACCTTAAGACACAATATCTGTTTTCATTTTAAATACTTTCAGATTTCCTGAATATCTTGTTGGATGGTTATGTTGTTCCCTATTAATTTACCATACCAAACCATACCAAATGTGGCATTCGAAATATAACCTTCATTCTTGCAGCCAATGCCCATAATGTTTGCCACAGTAGCAAACAAAACGTTTGATATTACACTTTCCATTTTGTTCTTTGTCACTCTCGGTTGTGAAAACCTATGTTCCAATATCAAATTTGAATGTTCGAGCTTATTATTATTATTAACCATCTAATAGTTTAGCTTGAATATGCCCTTCATAATTTTATATATTACAATAAGTTTTGAATTTTTTTGATGGTGCTGCCATTCCCCATACTAATATTGGATATTGAATTTTGAAATGAATTAACGAAACTTAAATGAATTCAATGCATTTCAATTGTATGAAACTTCTTATTTTGAATAAAATCTTAATAGTGGGAATTACTTTCCTTCTTATTGTTTTGATGTTGTTTTCATGATACATGAACGTAAATGAAGATTTCTGAAAATTAAGTGACATTTCATGGTCTTTCAAAAACAGATAGAATTAGGTTATGGCAGACTCCGTGTCACTATTTTTTCAAAATCAGGATTGTCCATCATTCAATATTTTTTTGATCTCCACATTTTTCCCGATTATAAATAGTAACTTCATATATTTTATTGCTTTTTCAGACGCCTGCAGAGCAGAAAGCAAGACTCAATAGAATATTACTGAATCTCTTGAGTAAGATGCCAACTAAGCAAGTTATAGATGTGTCTTACCTGTTAGAGGGTGGACGTAGAAGAAAAAAACCAGTTGATAATGTTAATAAATAATGATATATGTCTCATTGTTTAATGAATTGGGTGATATTTTCAGATATTCTTTATTATTGTGTTTTGCGAGAAGCTAATATCTACATTGAATGATGTTATTGAGTAATTTTTTAAGATTTATTGAATATTTGACAGGGTGTTTTATCAGCAATGAAGTGGTGTGTAATTGACTTCTTTAGTTTTATTGATCTGGTTTTTATTGGCGCACCCTGTATATTGTTCTGTTTTTCTCACTTGGTAATTTTAATAGCTAGTCATAGTATTGTTAATATTAACTTTTCTATTATTTATTTGTACAGAAAAATTGTTGCTTTTATTTTAGCGTTGAACTTTCTGGGCTCGGTGAAAATTGTGTCTTATATTTAGGACGTGATTGGGTACAAATTTTATCTCGCGCTTATTATATTATAGATTATTACTCTACAATTTCATAATCTCTATTCTTTATATATTTCTGACACAAGGTATTATGTAATTATTGATTATATTTTATTTGTATATAATTTTTTGTAACATTTTATTTATGTTCTAATTTATTCGGTGAATCTGTTTAGATGTAGTTATTCTTGCCTGAATAGAATGAAATTTTGACACTATATGTTAATATCACAGTAGGATATACTTTTTATTATCAATAAAGTTGTTATATTTTCATGCAGTTTTTGATTTCTACTAAAACCCTAGAAAGAGGCAACTTGTAAATTCCCAAATCATTACTAGCAAAACTGGAAAAGTACATATGAAAAATTTTCTGCATGTTGAAAACAATGAACAAAATTAAATGTTTCAAGCATCATTCTGAATTTAAGATTTTGGTTCAATTTAATTTAATGAACTAATATTGATAAAGATGCCAGTATCTATTTGAATGAACATTTTTCAATTAATTAAGCTTTTAGCTCTCTTGCTGAATAGTTCTGGTCGTTGGCCCACATATCGAATTAGTAGTTCTGACATTAGCTACTGATGAGGCTTGCTACACGCCTCCAATAATAGTTCACAAATAGACTTGACATTGCCAGCCTCGCAGACGTCTGGTATCCCGTTAGGGAAGCTATGGACGACCCCTCCCGATATAGAAGGCCCTGCTCTGTCGAATGAGGCCCTCATGTCCCCCGTTAACAGATGAACAATTTTTTCATCCATCTCACCCCAGCCAGGTAGGGGTACACCGTGAAGGGCAGTACTGATGCTGCAATCCCATGATCAGTTATGACCCATTTGTCCTTTTAACAAACGTCAGTCGAAAGGGTAAGGGAGCTAAGTTCCAACCTGTTCGAAATCAGGACGGCTGTCGACGACGTCTGGTATCACCTGAATGTGACTAACCAGTCTTAGTACCTTGAGCATGGTGAGTTTGATGCTAGAAAGGCCAATCATCACCTATTAAAGAGTGCAGGATCATTGAAGATTATCTCGCGTGATGTAGTTATTTTGATACATGTCGTTTTCTGCGAGGTGATTGATGACTTGGTAAGCTTAAGGGCCTGTGAGGAGAAGGCAGAACCACCCTGTTTGTTATCAGACCGTTTCTCATTTTACCTAAATCTCACGGAATATACATCAAGACAACTGTCTATCTGAGAAAAATTCAACTGAATCCAATTCTTTCCTTGTTTGAAATCAACTACAATATTATCTAAATAAATTTGACCACTTTGCGTATGTCATCGTCGTAATTGATCTGTAACTAGTTTTCTGGAATGAAGTGTTTCATTTTATACCATCTCTCATGCCTTTCTATTTGTCGATCACAACATATTTTCTCTAACAAAACTACCCGAATAAAGAAAACCAACGTGAACATGTTACAATTTAGCTAAGTCTTCAACTCGACCCTCTGGTATTAGATTGCTTAAAGTACTATTATCTTTAGTAATTTGCAATGACACAAATTAATCCCCGTTCTGGAGAAATTAATTTATCCAACTGAGTGGAACACCTCTTATACCATAAGCCAGGAAAGTGAAGAAAAAATAAGAAATATGTCATATGACTATAAGGCGAATTTAATTTAATTTTAGAACTTTCATAAAAATTGTAACTATTCCTCTGGATTCGACAGATTTTGGTTCATCAATTGTAATCAAAATCTATATCATTAAAAAAGTTATGAACAAAAAAATAATTTGAATTGAAGGGGTTATATTTTTTATTTTATATATTGCACACCATTTAAATATATTTGTCAATTTTTTTTTACTTATACCTTTTTTAATTATGAACAATTTCAAGTTAATTCTGAAACTTCTGAAATCAAATCGATGGAATAATTGAATGACAAAATTTTCAAATTTTATTCCCTATTAACTTTTTTTAATGACGAACGCATATCGAAGTAATTTTGACATAACCGACGTGAATCTAATTAATCACTAATATTTTTGTTTATTCTCCATTCTAGAATGGAGGAAAAAGAGGAAGGATCGGAATTAAATCCAGTAATGAGTAGAGGTTGTATTTAATCAAGAATTCTTTTGTTGGTAAATAAATTAAAATATAAATAAAAGTATAAAGTACAATAAAATACTATAAATAAAAACGTTTCTTTCTGAAGTTCACTCATAACTTCTTTTATATTGACAAAGTGCATAAACAAAATAAAAATATATTACTTCTTCATTTGGTGAACTTTTTCCATTTTATATTCATTCCAATATTATTTAGAATTTTTGTTTACAGCAACAGAATTTAGTTTTTGACGGAACATCATAAAGTGTCAAATAATCTCAGAGGAAACTCACTAATAACAAATAATAATGAAGGTGCATTGCAATTTGAGCAAGAATACCTTTTTGTGAAAAAGAGTGAGGAGAATCCATTGACCATGGATCTGTGACAAATCCTGTACAAAATTACGCTTTTTTACAACTTTATCTGTTTGGTAAACACATTATATGTTGATTTCATATATTGTATCAATCATAAAAAGATTTATTATTCCTTTTTCACATTTAACTGAGCTTATATCACGATATAATATAAGTTCCTTATATTATTGATATTTGCTGTTGTGCTTTTGTACAACACATAGTGGTCAAAATTTGAATTCATAGTGGAGACAGTCTCTTTGATTTATATACCAAGAGATGATTTTGGATTGAAAAATACCTTATGAATTCATGAACTACAGTAATTAGCGGATCATAAATATAAATGAAAATCATTGTCATTCATGATCGAATTTAAAACCAACTGACCGTTTTTAAATCATTAAAACATAAAAAATATAACATGTATGTCGAATCATCAAAAGTTACAAAAATATGATTTTACCGTTATCGTTACCACAGAATATCTATATAAACTCATGTTGGGAAAGAAAGGTTTTGGCTTCCTATTTCTCCATCTTTATACAAAAAAGTCTGGAAATCATCCAATGAAAGAAAGAAAAATAATTGATTTCAAAATAAACTCTTGATTTGATCCCAGTGAATGAATGTTATTAAGTACTGTCATCGATGACATGAGTAAATTCAACTCATTCGGGACATAAAGCCGTAATTTTATGAATGAGTTGAGTGCTTTATCTTGTAATGTTATCCAGATTGGTGCTGAAGAGGCAATCAGACAGGTGTCTTATTCTGAAACATCGATATCGGCTATTGAAGATGACAGTGTTCCATGTAAGTGAAATTTTACCTTTCATACACGATATTGGATAGCAATCCTGTGAATAATATCTGAATTAATCCCATAACGAGTGTTTGAATTACAAACTAAATAGGAGGAAGTGTTAATTGTATAACTCAATGTTCACATAAAAGTAGTTGTTTCGAAAGTATTTTCTCTTTCCTATAATTCAATGTTCATATGAAAGTAGTTGTCTCGAAAGGACTTTTTCTTCCAGTTTGTGCCTGAAAGTTTTTTTGCATGATCTACCCATCCTAATGAAGAGTTTATTTCGAAATCAATTGTTTTTCTTCCCTTCTTTGAAAGATTTCCACACTTTTTTGTATAAAGATGAAGAAGTAGAAAGCCAAAACTTTTCTTTCCTAAAAATGAATCACTCCTAAAAATATACTCCTCTCATGAAAAGTGACTTTCTATATATTTTTACCACTTCTATTTGTAAGTAAAGTTACTGCACTTTGCCCTATAAGTGGTAAAAAAATAGTTTTATTTCTCATTTTTCATGATGATCTCCTACCACGTAGTAAAGGCTACATCCATCAATTTATACCCCTTTCATATTAAAACTTATGTTCTTTGAAGTTTTTGAATTAAAATTCAATATTCCTGTTAAGAGAAATAAACTGTCTGATGTTACTTTTTGATATATCCTTGAATATCAAAGTAACACTGAAACTGTATAGTGGCCCAAAAGTAGAAATATTCGTTCAAAATAAATAATTTCACTGACTCTAACATCAGTTTTCACAACTAAGTTATCAATTAATATATCTTTCGGAAAATTTCAATCACAATGTATAAAATCGTTAATCTATTTTGGATAATTCAATATTCCTTCCATCAAATCATTTCCTGTTATTATCTTATCACTCAAAATACAGATCTGAGCTCCAGTCATGGTTTCTAATAAATTACATGCAGCTATTTCTGCATAAGTTACTCCACCTATTATATAAATCAAAATATTTCTAGCTGGAAGAGGATAACCTCTGTCATTTCTAATAGACAGCTTACCAAAAACCTCCAACTTTGTTCTGATTTCCTCTATAGGTACAGAATTGAGTAACAATCCAGCAATCTGAGTAATGAGTGGAATATAATTTCCACCATACACATAACTTGCACATGTTGGGTATTTTAAGTTGATCTTATCAGGATCTTGAGGTATTTGTCTCAAATTTTTTGCATTCATCTGAAAATTTCGAGAGGAAAATAAAGGAATTTTTATTTTTCCCTGCAAATTAAAACTACCCGTAGTTTGAGCAGGTTCTGAAATGAAACCTGTTGATATTAAATTACTGAATGCAAACCCATAATGGAATCCAAACTGATGTAAATATTTACGCCAAAAGGTCCTGATCTCACTCTCACTCATAGACTGTGCAATAGCAATGAGGCAAAATAAGCGCAACACTGTGTACCTATTATTTTCAGTAGCTAAAAGTTCATTGAGAAAATTTATATTTGTTGCTTTATCACAATTTCTTATTATATTCTGCTCAATGGTTTTTTGATTTTCATAGCGATAACCAAGTGTATTAATAATAGTTTCTGCTGCAAGTAAATGATTGGTAATAAACTTTTTTCTAGAATTAGTAGCTTGAAGTTGAGTTTTGACATAAAGTTTAATTTCATCAAGAGCCATTTCCTTAGAGCTCATCTTTTCTGTTTTCAATTGTTTAGTTAAACTGCTCAATACGGAAGTCACTTCCGTAAAATATCGATTTTTAATATCATCATAGACACTATCAAAAGTACTCTCCATATTAATGTTGACTGTTTGTTTCTCAACAGTAGGGTTGAACTTCTCATCTAATTTTCCACTTTCTTCTTGTTTATTTTGACAAATACCAGCGCTTACGGGATATACTTCACTTAGTAAGGCTGAATACACTCCTGGAGTCAGTAAGGCACTGGAATAGTCCACATTTCTATCTACTACTACCAAGGCACTGAAGTCAGAGTCTACCTGTAAAGTATTACGTTTTAAAAAAAATTGTTCAGTTGCCAGAATAAGTATTGTCTATTGTATATATGTCAGAAATTGGACAAATTCAACAAGAAAGCTTCTATCAGGTCAAAAACGGGATTGAAAATATTACAAAAGTCCTAACTAAACCATGACAAAAATCATTTCAATCCACTTTTCAAGAAGACCAAAGCTATCGATGATGACACTTTAAGTAAGAATCACTAGTTGAATGATGTCAGGTGTCAAATTAGCGAAAGAATAACTGTGTCAAATTCAAACTGGAAGACATGTAGTCAACAAGAAACAGTGTAGCAAGATGATATTGAAATGGGTATATACCATCAGAAATAGGATATAGGAAATAACTTTTATCTAATTTCTGTTGATTAAACCTTTTTCAAGTTTGGTTTAATAAACCTAAACCGGTCATAACAAATGAAAATCTTAGTACAAATTAGACAAAAGTTATTTTCCCTATGCTATATTCAATATGAATTTCCAGAACATAAATAGGGCAATAATCGAACAAGTTGAATATATCACTGCTATTATGAAACATGGTTTGAAAGTATTGAGTTCTACTGTGAAGTAAATTGGAAGAAGAGTTGAATATTTTATATCTGAATTGGGTTATATATGAATAAATGTTGTGTGTACACAGTTTTGGTATACCAGTTTTAAAACAAATTCAAAATTCAATTAAATTAAAAAAAATCGTTCAGACTTGGCAAGAATGTTGAGACTCAACGTTAAAGGAGTAGCTCACCGACAATCATTGGGAGCATGGGATGGATGTCTCTCAAATACTTTCAAAATCAACGCTGGCGTTCCCCAGGGAAGTCTATTGGCTCCCACCCTCTTTTTATTATATATCAATGACTTATTGAAGAAAAACGAGATTCCGATTCATTGCTTTGGTGACGACAGCACAATTGTGTCATCATTCCATTTGGATTCCAGGATATCAGCTGCGAATGCACATCCTCACTGGCAGCAGGAGGTTGCAAATCTTAATGAGGATCTAGAAGTGATTTCGAATTGGGATGGAAGTAATCAGGTTCAATTCAATGCCATGAAAACCCAGGCATCGGTTTTTTCCAAAAAGACACAAGGGGGTTAAAATATACACCAATATGTCTTGGAACAGCTGCTTCTCAGAAGCTTGAAATACTTTTCCGAACCATAAAAGTGTACAAACCTCGTCAGAAGATAGTGTACCTTCGCCAGTGGTGAAAATGCCGTTTATGGCTGAATCTAACGTTCATCATAGCTGACTAACAGACACCCTCATAAGAGAAGGTTCCTTCAGTAGATAAAGTGGGAATCTTGCACCTTGAACATCCAATAATTAAAATTTTGACCAATTAACATTAATCTCTTTAGTATGTTGGCTGCCCCAACCGATATTACAGGATGTGGACTTCAGAGCTGCACATTCTGGCCTGGATGAATACAGGTTACCTGAATAGATCAGGAGAGTGTCTTCTAATTAGTGAGTGCCATTAGTATCCTGCAGGCATGGAGGGGTGTCTCCCTGAAATGCGTCACAGGAGACCTACTACCCAAGTGTGTTGCTTATCTACCTAACAAAGGTAATCACAGACTGACCTTCGATCAGGTATTTAGTAGATTAAGGCATGTCAAGCTTGAAGAGAATTGATCTTTTCAAGAAAATTAAGGCACTGGTAGCAAGCACTGGTAGAAGGTGCCTTCTCAAATGATGTAATCAAGTTGCATTGAGGAACTGGATTTTCAATCAAGAATGTTGGTTCTCAATATAAATATGAAAGAATGTGGTTCTCCGAAGATTTCCAAAAAAATAAAATGTCAATAAATATTTTGAAAGATTTGAAGTTTCAATATTTTTCAACATTTGGTCATATATTTTACTACTTTAACAAGCAAAGTTTGTTCTGTTTACATAACTATGTGACTAAAAATTGTGAAATGTGGTTGCATTTTTTGTTAATTTCATTTTAGTGTTGCATTAATGTTTAGGCTAAATTGTAAGTTCGCAAACTATTCTTCTTCATGAATTTTGAAATATTTGACCAACACATTGTTGAATTCATCTGATTGGCCGTTTGCTAAATAAATTATTTATATATTTCTCAGTACCTTATCAGTTTCTCCTCTATCGTCACAGAGCTGGTCATATTGTAACACCAATGCATTGGAATATTCGCCTAAGGTTAAAACTAAACGAGGTTTTCCTACCACAAAACAGAGTTGCCATAAAACTTTTGATAGAATAGGTAAGTAGGAAGTATTGTGGTAGACAAAGAGAGAACTGTATATATTTGGTATTTCCAGACTTAAGATTCTTGCGTCTAAGTGAAGGGGCATCCACTGGAAGGAATGCAATCTGATAGAATCATGTAATAATCCCAACTCTTCCAATTCATTTTCGTATGTACAAATATATCGTGGTACTACAATTATATGAAATTTATCCTTGACTGGCTTTTCTACATCTACATATGACCTTATCTGGTTAACAACTTGTTTGAATAGTTTTATGTCTGAGTGTATCATATAAAAATGTGTACTATTACTAAAGTCAGGTGTTGTTGTTTCTAGCTTGAAAATTTTATCAACTCCGTTACCCCTGAAATGAATTTGAGTAAATTCTTCATTAATAAAAATAATGTGTAGTACTTTAGCCACTTCACCCCACAAACCCTTTCCAAAGGTCTGATAAGGCTTGGTTCCAAAATAAGATACTTTGTGCTCGAGTTGACATTCAGGATTTTAGAGAGCTGGGCCTTTGAAATTTCTTGTAATGACGTGAATTTTTTTGCGATTTCCATTTTTTACAATTGAAAATTTATATTTTCCACATTTCATTATTATCGTTCCTATGGGTTATATTTTTAATATTACTCTCTTCTTCTTTTTATTTAGTCATTCCATTGCCGCTAGGTGACGCTCGAAATCTCAGTGATTTATGAATTTTGTTATTTTTACATTTACACTGTCATCAAACAGTACTGAATGGAATCATTAGTAATTATAAGTTGAATTTCACATTCATATAAATTGATATCATCATAATAAAATACACAAAAAAGATGTAATTGTAGATCGCACAAATAATTTAAACCACAGATTGTTCTCATTCCAGTATCGATACACGCATTTACTCACTATGAGTTGTTATACTACAATGAAATATCTACCCGGAAACAAAGGACAGAAACACTTTTTCAAGTCAGAACTTGAGAAGATGTTTCTTTTATTGTTTCAATAGAAAACGACCGCGATAGTTTTTTTTTGAAAAATCTGTTTTTCCATTAACCAGCTGCTGCTAGCATACGAAAGACAACCCTCAGAAGTCGAACGTTGTGTGCAAAATAAGGATTAATGAGGTCTCACCTTTTAACGTACGATTCCCAGCACGGCATATTCTTTGTTGGAATGTTAGAATGGAAAAGATAAATTCAATAAAAGGCACCGCATTTGTACCCTCATTTGTATGAATATTTGAAGATATAAGAAAACTGAAAGTTTTGTGAATACTACTGGTATTCACCACATTTCTCGAGGCAGTTCATTAGCGATGCCTTTGTGTCTGAATGAAATCAGAATTCGAATCAATAATTCAATTGAGTGGAGATATATCTTCTGGCTGAAATGGGTAATTCTTTAGATATTTTTTCCCGTATAAATTTTTTCAATTGATTTCGAGAAACCTATTCCCCCACAAAATGAGCCCTAAAACAATTACTGAACATTTATTATCCTAAAAGATATTTTTCTGAAATTTTCATTTTCCGAAAAACGATAATGATATAGTAATAAAAATATACCTGCAAAAACGTTCAGCTTCCTATAGATATCGTAATCATACCTACTCTATTCAAATCGAAATATTCCATTACATAAAACCCTTCGATGAAGTTGGAATGGATATATCCTCTGGAGTATATCCTGAGTATATCGATTCATTTATCTGAAGACCTCTTTTCATTTTATGAGTCTATAAAAAAGATGCAAGCAAAACGTTTTCAATATACCTAATGTTCGGCGTTTTTCAGTTTTTTGTTCCATACATTATATCGCAATAAAATTATTTACGGCTGCTTATAATTCTTCTGATTTATAGACAAATTATCTTAAAATTTACCATACACTTGGTGATGAGCGCCTTCCATTGATCATTTGAAGTGGTTTGCCAATAATTCGTAATTTTACAGGCAAATTATCTTGAGAACTTCAACAGGAAGGAAGAGAGAACATATCTATCAAAGATCTGGCACACAGCATTGAAAAGCCCCAAAACGAAGCTAAGTCACCGAAATCGCACGAGAAGTACGCGCGAACCCGCCATTACAGAAAGTGCGCGAAATAAAATCAGCACGTTTGGAGATTATAACCAAAGAAGACCACAGCAAAATCCAGAAACCAACCAAAACATTGACGCCAGCCTTGAACGCCTACATTCCTAAAGTATCTTTTGAAATGCACCATAGGCGAAGGACGCATTCCGTTGACTTGTATAGGTGGCTTGCCAACAATAATTTGTCTTAATATACCTATAATTGGTTAGACTTATAGATGAATTATCTTATAACTAACCACTAAATAGGCAAGCACATTCCGTTTATCTTTGTTTAAAGGTGGTTGATAATGTTTCGTGGTGCATTTTATTAGTTTGGACTTCCATTGTCTAATGATATTTGAAATTTGAAATTTTTGAAATCCCTGAAAGAATCTGTAAAAAAAATTTAAAAACTAAAAAGCAAAATTAAAAAAAGATTAGTTGAAAAATAACATGATTCTATATCATAATATGATATGGAACTATGTTCCATATCATAATATGGAACCATGGGAATGCAGAACTAAACACCTTCCTGAAGCATATCAACAACGTAAGTTCTTCCATCACTTTCACAATGGAGAAGGAAATCCACAACGAATTGCCATTCTTAGACGTATTGGTGAAGAGGAACAACACTACATGAGAAACATCTGTATATCGAAAACCCATTCAACCACAATCAATCGACTAAGAGAGGAATCATCTAGACTCTACTAGACCGTGCTTTCGGGCTCTGTAATACAAAGAAAGGTCTCGAAAAGGAACTAGGCATCATCAAAAATGACCTTCAACAGAATGGTTACTCCAAAGTGAGGGTGGAACAGGCTTTAGCTAGAAGATAGCAAGAGCTCCATAAGGAAGAGAAGCCGCCACTACAAATACTTGTACTTCCTTATATCAGAAGATTTCTCTAAGGTCTTGAAAAAATTTCAAATACAAACATATGCAGATGACACAAACTTATTTTTTAGTGATAGAATCGAGAATATTATGAACCAGAATGTGACACCTCATATTAATGACATCGGATGGCTGAAAATGCATAATAGACGAGAGTTGCATCAAGTTTATTTCCTTTTCAAATTATTTTTTAATAAAATACCACAAGATTTAATGAAAAAGCTCACTCCACGTCATCAAGTTCATAACAGATACCTTAGGGCAGTTACCACCCTTACCATACCCAAACATTTCACTGTTTTTTATGAACAATCATTCACATATCAGGCTGCTACCACTTTCAATATATATCATAAATATATAATACCACAACCATGTTTATCGTTTAAAAAGAAAATTAGGAAGATCATATTCGATAAACAGTGATCACAACAATCTGTAAGACAATTCATCTATCAATAATTTTCGTTTATTTTTTTTTGTTGTAACTATATATATGTATCAATTTGTAAATGTACAAAATACTGGTTGAGTGGAAGTGTAGCGTAAGCTAAACTCCGCCATTATAAATAAAGACAATTTATTATTATTATTATGAGAAGGATTGGGTCCAAGTATAACATCAGAACCTGCTTCAGATCTGTGAACACTATACGTAGCAGCCTCATGAAAACCAGTCCACCAAACGCGGACTGCGATTCCAGAAGAATTTCGGAAAGGACAAGGATTGAGTCCAAGTTCAACATTAGAACCTGCTTCAGATCTGAGAACACTATACGTAGCAGCCTCACGAAAACCAGGCCACCCAACGCGGACTGCGATTCCAAGATTGTATTCACAGAATAGACAGGTAACCTGCGAGTGCGGAGAATAATATATCGGTGAAACTAGGAGGCCATTGAAAGTTAGCATTTCCGAGCACAAAAAACACACACAACGAGGAGAAACCAGCAAATCAGGAAAAGCAGAGCATGTTTGAATTCATCAACATAACATCAAATGGGCTCAAACTGAAATCATCCACAAGGAGGAACACTGGTTTAGGAGAAAATTCAAAGATGCCGCATATATGTTATCCAACAACACATTTAGGCAAGCTAGTATAGAGATACGCAACATGTGGAAACCTCTAATCAAGCGGAAAGCGGAACACGAACAACTCCCGTCAAACGGTCAGGTTTCGCTAAAACCGATGAAGTGGAGAGAGGGAAGAGGGAATAAGTCCAGTTATGACCCGAAGACGATTGTGGATACTAACAATCGAAACGTCGTGTTGGTTTGGCATCTTTTAATTTTAATTTTTTCATTTCTTGTTGATAAATTTTTAATTTCCTCTCGGGTTAATAGCTCATTTTTTTTGTATTTTTTGTTGTTTGTATTTTATCTCATGGTACTTTCGGTTTTTTGCTTAATATAATTGTTATTTTTCAGCTAATATTTTTTTATTTTTTTATAGATTCTTTCAGGGAATTCAAATCAATTTATATCATATTAGACAATGGAAGTCCTAACTAATGAAATGCCGTTTATCTTTGGTGGCTATTTGTCAATAATTCTTCCTAACTTATAATTTATCAGATTCACAAATTATCCTGAAACTTGCCATACAATATTTCAATGTAACTTGATATTAGTGTCAAAAGATAGATTTTAATTAAGAACGCTTCAATTTTCGAGTATATAAGGATCTCTCCAGTAGCTCCTTTATCTCATAAAATTTCAACAATTGAGTATATCTACGTCAATAACATTGAGTTCGTTTCAGCTATATTATTCCAGTACTGGATGGATCGTGAAATATAAATTAAGGATAATTTTGGATAATTATCACGTAATCAACTCAAATAATAATTAAATGTTGTGTTCTTCGTTAACATTGAAAGTTTCATTAGCGTTCCCCTTGTGAACATATTCTGGGAATGCAATTTTTTTTATTTTAAATAGTTATCCAAGATTTCCTTAGCATATAGACAAGATCGGATAATAGAACTCTCTTCATTGAAGTATTTTCACTGGAGAAATGAATTCACAGTAAACAGTTTTAGTCATTAATTATTTTTTAATTTCTGAATAAAATATTTATTCTAAGTACCTACTACTGTTTTTTATTACTGCTTTTGTTTTCCCTAGGCCAGTAAAGACAATAGATTAAGAACCAATGAATGCCATACCTATTTTATAAAAGCTTTGGTAGGTGTGAAAACTCATCGCCGGATACCCTCAAACTTCAATGAATAATTAACTATACTTACCTCATAGTATAAACGCCGACTTTCATATATATTATTTGGGCAACTATAACAAGATATTTCTCCAATAGCCAGACAATTTGGACAGTTCTAACAACTGGCAGACAAACTAGAAGGAAATCCAAGTGAATTCGAGTGAGATAATGAGTTAGGTCTTTTGCAGGTCATCTGTATTAAGTTATTATACATACAGGACAAATTGAATAATTCGTTATGAACTTTATAAATTGAAATTTGATCTGATTGTTAATTCGCTGTCTTTTCAAAAAAAATAGAGTGAGTTTTATTTTTTTCAAAGAAATGAATTTTCATTCATCCATTTCTAATTTGATCCCTTCAAAGTTGTCCCCCTCAGATATAATATACTTATGCCAGCGTTTTTTCTAATCCTCGATATTTACTTTTTGGTATCTCCTTTGTACAGTTCACTATGTGCTAAAATCTGGTTTTGTGTTAATCAGTTGTTACCCCCGTACGAACAACAACCCTCAGAAGGTTAACTTTTGCGAGTTGAGGGTTAACGAGGTCTCACCTTTCAACGTGAAGTTTCTAGCACGGGTCAGATGATACGCAGTGAACATTGAAACTCCCACAGTTGGAATCGACCCAATGTTTACATTGTGGTTGATAGAATGGGTAGAATGAATCACTCACGCTAACCAACCGGTTACCGTCCAACATCTATGGTGTTTTTATTATCATGGTCATTATTACCAGACACCATATGCACCAACCCCTAAAATTGAAAATCTTTCACATTATTAATTCATTTCCAAATGTAAATATTGAAAAGTCAACTTGACATTCTCAAGCATGTTACTTGAAGATGATCTCTTCATTAAGAGTGCTGCAAGACTAGTGTTTTTGGCAATATATTTTATATAGAAGTTTTTCTATGTATCTTGTATGCATCTATATGTATCTGTAAAATTCACTCTTCGATTTTGAATATGAAAAAAATGAGTTTTTTAGGTTGCTCTTGTGATTTATTTGTCTTGTCTATGCCAAATAATAACCATCTATACGCTGTGAAAAATAAGGTGATTATTAATTTTTTTTTCAAAATATTTATTTATTTATCAATTTCTATTTTGTCTCCTTCAAAGTAGCCGCCCTCAGATATTACACTTGTGCCAGCGTTTTTTACAATCTTCGAAACAGTTCTGATATGCACTTTTTAGTATATCGTTGAGCTATCTCAGAGATTCGGTTTTTAGTTCCTCAATAGTCGCAAAATACCGTCCTTCCAGCGGGCAAATCTGTACTGTACTGACCTTACGCCACGTAATCGAAGAAAACAGTGAGCGAAATTTTGACTTTTGATCGAACTTGGCGTGTTTTTTGGTCTTGGCTCTCCTCGGCTCTTTCATTGGGACAATTGAGCTTCGGTTTTTGATGTCATTACTGTATACCCATGATTCGTTACCAGTTATGACCCTTTTGAGCAAATCTGGATTGCCGTTGACGTCATTCAACTATTCCTGAGGGATACTCATGTGACGGTTTTTTTGGTCAAAATTCATTTTGGAACGAACTTTGCTGCCATGCTCACATTTTATGCCCAAAATTTCCGAAAAAATTGTATGGCATGAGCCAATTGCTACGCCGACATCCTCAGGATCTTCTATAATAGTGATTCGACGATTCTTCATAGCACTTTTCTTCGCTTTCTTAACATTTTCATCAGCTAATGATGCGCTGGGGAATCCAGGGCGAGCGTAGTCATTCACATCTTCTTCTGACTCAGAGTACAATCACCGTATGCCACTGTTAACATTTCAAGTGTTTTTGAGCACTTAATTTC